TAGAATTTAGAATATGATAAGAAAGAAGAAAAATTTTCCTGGTTTAGAGCTCTCTGGACTGGCCTCACCATCTGAAGTGAGACCAAGCCAGGGTGTGAGAGAGGAGAGGTTCCTCAGGGATCACGATAGACCTGTCTCCTTTCTCCTCGTGCCTTCAGCCTTAGAGGAGAGGCCTCTGCGTTCTTTTCGCCCTTTAGGACTTGACTTGATGTGTCCCTGTCACCTTATTTTACATACTAGCTTTAACACATTTTTTAGATTTTCAATTATACACGTAAAGAAGAATTACTGAAATAAAAATGACACTAGGGACAAAAAAGACTTCTTAGAAGAGAATTGAGTTTTGAAATGAATTTAGAAAGAAGTGGGGGATGATGCAGACCTATATATATATATATCTAAGACCTAAAACATTGGTATTTGTCTCTTCAATTTACCGTTGAATAAAAATTCAGCTCATTTCCCAACAAACCAAAAGCTAATAGAATGTTATTTAAAGCAAGTGCTACCCATTGCCCATTACTACAGCCACTTGGGTAAGAGCAGGGAACAGTTATTTAAAATCTGCCAAGGACCTTTCCATCTATTCTATACCACCTACCTGCTGCCAGGCCTCAGTCCCTGGCTAGTCTAAGTGATTACATATTTTATTTTTATGTTCTAATTTTTTAATTTTTAGGGCGTTGTCGTGCACCACCTGTGTACCAATCTATGAAGTTAAAGGGTACCCCTAAAGCTTCATATTTTCCTGGGGAGAAAATATCTTTTGAGTGTAAACCAGGATACTATTATGCCTTCCATCATGCCCTCGATTCCTTTTGTCAGCAAAATAGCACATGGCTCCCTGTTAATAAAGCATGTCACAGTAAGTAAACAAAACCTTTCTTTTTGTATGTGAGTGCTTGCTCTGGCATTTTGTTGGTGCATTTTTTTTAAACACAGTTTTGGGTTCATTTTCCACTATGGCAATGATGATTTTCTCATGTGAAACTAGGTTTTAGATAGTGGCACAGATTTTTAGGCTTCGACAAACCTCCTGGGAATTTTTTTGTAGGCAGTTGGTTGCCTGGGTAAATGTGAATTTTATGTTTTCCCTTATAATAGTTAACTCAAGAAAATAATATTGCATGCATTGAAAAGAGCAGTGTAGAATTTTGATTTTTATTTAAATCTGTTTTGAAATTTGTATTAAAAAATGAATTTGAAAATTTCCTTTTAGAAAAAGTATGTCCAACTGTAAATGTACAAAATGGTGCAGTGTATGACCCACAAATTGGCTTTGAATTTGGTAAAGAAGCTCATTTTTATTGTGATTACGGGTAAGTTGCTCCTTAGAGAAAATAAGGTAAATGTTACTGATTCCATATTGTTATTCTTCTCCTTTTATTTTCTTTTATTGTTGTATTACCGATGTCCCCCGTTTTCTCATCCCTCCACCCACCCCCCACCCTACCCAGAGGCCTTCCATAGACACACTATTGTCTATGTCCATGGATTTTGCATATATGTATATATGATCTTTGGCTAATCTCTGCCTGTCCCCTCCATCCCTCTCCCCAATGAAATCTGCTATTCTGTTCCATGCATCTATGCCTCTGGACCTATTTTATTGGTCAGTTTATTTTGTTTTTTATATTTCACATATAAGTGAGATCATGCGATATTTGTCTTTTTCTAACTGGCTTATTTTGCTTGGGATAATAATCTCCAAGTCCATCCATGTTGTGAAAAAGGGTAATAGCTCATTCTTTTTTACAGACACATAGTATTCCACTGTGTAAATGCCCCACAGCTTTTTTATCCACTCATCTACTGATGGGCACTTGGGCTGTTTCCAGATCTTAGCTATTATAAATAACGCTGCTATGAACATAGGGGTGCATATGTTCTTTCTGATGGGTGTTTTGAGATTCTTAGGATATATTCCCAGAAGTGGGATCACTGGGTCAAACAGCAGTTCCATTTTTAATTGTCTGAGTAACCTTCATACTGTTTTCCACTGTGGCTGGACCAGTCTGCATTCCCACCAGCAGTGGACTAGCCTTCCTGTTTCTCCACATCCTCACCAGCACTTGTTTGTTGATTTATTGATGGGAGCCATTCTGGCAGTTGTGAGATGATACCTCATTGTAGTTTTAATTTGCATCTCTCTGATGATTAGTGATGTTTTTCATATGCCTATTTGCCATCTGTATGTCCTCTTTGGAGACATGTCTATTCAGTTCCTTTGCCCATTTTTAAATTGGATTGTCTTCCTGGTGTTGAGTTGTATGTGTTCTTTGTTATTTTTGGAAATTAACCTCTTATTAGATATATCATTGGTGAATATGTTCTCCCATACAGTAGGTTCTCTTTTCATTTTGCTGATGGTTTCTTTTGCTGTGCAGAAGGTTTTTAGTTTGATATAGTCCCATTTGTTTATTTTTTTCATTTGTTTCCCTTACCCTAGGAGATGTATCAATAAAAATACTGCTACATGAGATGTCTGAGATCTTACTGCCTGTGTTTTCTTCTAGGATTTTTAAGGTTTCGTGACTTACATTTATGAGTTTTCTCTATTTTGAGTTTATTCTTGTGTATGGTGTAAATTGGTGGTCTAGTTTCATTTTTTTGCATGTACCTGTCCAATTTTCCCAACACCATTTATTGAAGAGACTATCTTTTCACCATTGTATGCTCTTAGCTCCTTTTTCAAATATTAATTGATCATATTGGCATAGGTCAATTTCTGGGGTCTCTGTTCTATTCCATTGGTCTACATGCCTGTTCTTGTGCCAGTACCAGGCTGCTTTGATTACGAGACTTTGTAGTGTAGTTCAATATGCAGCATTGTGATCCTTCCAACCTCGTTCTTCTTTCTCAAGATGGCTGTGGGTATTCTGGATCTTTTCTGGTTCTATATAAATTTTTGGAATATTTGTTCTAGATCTGTGAAATATGCCATTGGTATCTTAATAGGGATTACATTGAATCTGTAGATTGCTTTTGGTAGTATGGACATGTTAAAGATGTTAATTCTTCCAATCCATGAACACTGAGTATGCTTCCACTTGTTTGTATCTTCCTCTATTTCCTTTTTCAATGTCCTGTAGTTTTCTGAGTACAGGTCTTTTACCTCCTTGGTGAAGTTTATTCCCAGGAATCTTATTTTTTTCATTGCATTGGTAAATGGGATTGTTTTTTCAGTTTCTCTTTCTGAGAGTTTGTTATTGGTGTATAAAAATGCCATCGATTTCTGGATGTTAATTTTGTATCCTGTTACTTTGCCGAATTCATTTATTAACTCTAGCAGTTTTTTTGAGTGAGTCTTTAGGGTTTTCTGTGTAGAATATCATGACAGTTTTACTTCCTCCTTTCCAATTTGAATGTCTTTTATTCTTGTCTGATCGCTGTGGCTAGGACTTCTAATACTATGTTGAATAAGAGTGGTGAAAGCAGACACATCCCTGTCTTGTTCCCTATCTCAGGGAAGCGCTTTTAGTTTTTGCCCATTGTGTATGATGTTGGCTGTAGGTTTGTCATATGTGGCCTTTATTATGTTGAGGTATGATCCCTCTATCCCACTTTGCTGAGAGTTTTTATCATAAACAGGCGCTGGATTTTGTCAAGTGCTTTTTCTGCATCTATTTACATGATCATGTGTTTTTTTATCCTTCATTTGGTTTATGTGATGTATCACGTTTATTGATTTGTGAATATTGAACAAACCTTGCATCCCCAGAATAAATCCCACTTGGTCATGGGGTATGACCTTTTTACTGTATTGCTAGAACCTATTTGCTAATATATTTTTGAGGATTTTAGCATCTATGTTCATCGGGGATACTGGCTTTTAGTTTTCTTTTTTTATAGTGTCTTTATCTGGTTTTTGAGTTAGGATAATGCTGGCCTCATAAAAAGAGCTTGGAACTCTTCCCTCATCTTGAATTTTTTGGAATAGTTGGAGGCTGGGTGTTAATTCTTTAAATGTTTGGTAAAACTTGCCTGTGAAGCTACCCATTCCAGGACTTTTGTTTGCTGGGAGTTTTTTTTTTTTTTTTATTACTGCTTCAATTTCATTAGTTGTTATCAGCCTATTCAGGTTTTCTGATTCTTCCTGATTGAGTTTTGGAAGATTATATGTTTCTAGGAATTTGTCCATTTCGCCCAGGTAGCCAGCTTGTTGATATATAGTTGTTCAAAGTATTTTCTTATGATCCTTTGTTTTTCTGTGATGTTAGTTGTTACTTAGCCTCTTTTATTTCTGATTTTATTTATTTGGGTCCTCTCTCTTTTTCTTGATAAGTCTGGCCAAAGGTTCATCAGTCTTTTTTATCTTTTTAGAGAGCTAGCTCTTGGTTTCATTGATCTCTTATATATTTTTTTAGTTTCCATGTCATTTATTTCCACTCTGATCTTTATTATTTCCTTCCTTCTGCTTACTGTGGGCTTTCCTTATTGTTCTCTTTCGAATTCTTTTAGTTGTAGGGTTAGATTGTTTATTTTAGTTTTTTCTTATTTCTTGAGGTAGGCCTGTAATGCTATGAACTTCCCCCTCAGGACTGCTTTCACTGTGTCCCATAGATTTTGGGTTGTTGTGTGTTTGTTTTCACTTGTTTTCAGGAAGTTTTTGATTTCTTCCTTGGTCTCATTGGTAATCCTTTCATTGTTTAATAACATGCTATTTAGCCTCCATCTGTTTGAATGTTTTTGATTTTTTTTTTTTTTTACTATAGTTGGTTTCTAATTTCATGCCATTGTGATCCAAAAAGATGCTTGATATGATTTTAATCTTCTTGAACTTGTAGACACTTGTTTTGTGTCCTAATATGTGGTCTGTCTTTGAGAATGACCCATCTTCACTTGAGAAGAATGTATATTCCGCAGCTTTGGGGTTAAATGTTCTGTAAATATCAATTAAATCCGTCTGATCTAGTGTGTTATTTAAGGCCACTGTTTCCTTGTTGATTTTTTGTCTGGAAAATCTATCCAGTGATGTCAATGAGATGTTAAAGTTCCCTACTATGACTGTATTGCTATCAATCTGTCCCTTAAAGTCTTCCAAGAATTTTTAAATATATTTAGGCGCTCCTATGTTGGGTGCATGTATGTTTACAATAGTTATATTTTATTGTTGGGTCAATCTCTTTGTTATTATATAGTTATCTTCTTTATCGCTTATTATGGTCTTTATTTTGAAGTCTATTTTAGATATGAGTATTGCTACCCCAGCTTTTTTTTCCATTTCCATTTGCACGGAATATATTTTTCCATTCTTTACTTTCACTCTGTTTGCATCTTTTGTTCTGAGGTGGGTCTCTTGTAGATAGCATATATGAGTCATGTTTTCTTATTCATTTAGCTACCCTATGTCTTTTGATTGGAGCATTTCATCCATTTACATTTAAGGTTATTATTAATAGATATTTGTTGCCATTTTTCTTTCTTTACCTCTGGTCCTCAATCTCTCAATTTCTTCTTAAAACAGTCCCTTTAACAGTTCTTGCAATGCTGGTTTGGTGGTGATGTACTCCTTTAGCCTTTTTATGTCTGGAAGCTCTATATTTCAACATCAATTTTGAATGAGAGCCTTGCTGGATAGAGTAGTCTTGGTTTCAGATCTTTGCTTTTCATCACTTTGCATACTTCATGCCAATCCCTTCTGGTCTGAAGTGTTTTTGTTGAGAAATCAGCTGACAGTCTAATGGGAACTCCTTTGTAGGTAACATTCTGTCTCTCTTGCTGTCTTTAAGACTCTTTTGTTGTCTTTAATGGTTGTCAGTTTAATTAAGATGTGTCTTAGAATGGGTCTCTGGTTTTATCTTGATTAGAACTCTCTGTGCTTCCTGAACTTGTGTGACTTTTTCATGGTCACACCTGGTGAAGGATATTTTCTGTTATTATTTCTTTAAACATGTTCTCTGTTGCTTGCTCACTTTCTTCTCCTTCTCTTACTCCTATAATGCAGATGTTGTTATGTTTCATGTTGTTCCAAAACTTCCTTAAACTATTCTCCTGCGTTTGAATTCATTTTCCTTTTTGCTGCTCCAATTGAGTGTTTTTTTCTGCCTTATCTTCCAAATCACTGATTCAATCCTCTGCTTCATTCAATCTACTTTTGATTCTTTCCAGTGTATTCTTTATGTTAGATATGGTATTCTTCATTTCTGACTGTTACTCATTGTTTCTATTTCCTTTTACATGCTGTTGTAGTTCCTACTAAGTTTCTTGTAATTCTCACTAAATTCCTTGAGCATCTTTATAATCATTACTTTAAACTCTATATCTGATAAATTGCTTGCCTCCATTTTGTTTAGCTCTTTTTCCGGCGTTTCCTCCT